CTAAATTCGTAAAAAAAATAATTTCATCAATAATAAAGAAATAATTCAATATTAACGATTTTAATTATAAAGTATAATTAATGATTTAATATCTAAAAATTTAAAGGATTATTTATTATTACTAAATCACTTTACTTTTAATAAAATTCGTTCTCCATTGGCCATTAAAAGGGTTAAAATAAAACCGATCCATATATTGATTGTGCATTTCAAAAATGGAAGATTCTTTAAAAAATTCCGTAGTTATAATTAATTGATAAACTTTGCTCATTTAGATCTCTACGCAGAGGTCTCGCTTACTTTTGTGCTTATTTGTTTACTCATTTTCTTTTTTGTTTTTTTTAGTTCTTTTTTTTGGTTCTTAGTGGTTCCCTCGTTTATCCTGCGCGCATTTTTTTATTTTATTCAAAGACTTATTGTTGTCTGGCGTACGAAGATCAACGGTGTCACTTCTATTTCGAATTATTTTTGTGTATTAATTGGTAATCATCAGTGATAATATACACAACAGCCAACGCTATTTGTTTTTAAGTAAAGTAAAAAATTCAAATCAATCATATAAATTAATTATTCCATACAGATAATATAATAAGGTTAATATATTGATATAAATCTTTCTATTAACTAGGAATTAAATTTAATAATATAAAACATAAAAAAATTGAATTTTATAGAAAAAATATTTCAAATCATACTAAAGTAAATACTACATAAAATAATTTCGATATAAAACTATGTTTACGATCTAAAAAAAATTAAAATTAAAATTGCGAATTTATGCCGAAAGATAGACGCAGGATCATACACATTTACCGCGATCAAAGCCCGCCATTCATAATTATGATGTATTCACCGCGATAGATTCGTGCAACAACCAATATGATTGCAATATAGCTATAGGCGATTGTTGATACAACAATCAATATTCGATTTAATATTAAAACTCGCGGTGTGCCTCGCTGAAAATATTTCACTCGGCTTGGTCGTTTTTCCGGCAGGATTTGACCTTGTAAATCTTCACAATTTTATTTCCTGACATTTATCTTTCTCTCATTGGCTGCTGTTTCGTTTTCTTTTTTGTCGAGATGTATCTGTGTATTTCTTACGTCCTTCGTCTATTAATCCAATTACTATCCCTAACAGTTAACCCTTTAACTTATATTCAGCTTAAAAAAGTGAAACAAATGAAATCCTTTTTTAATATTTTGTTTGCAATCTTTGTTAATATTTTAAATGTTTCCATAATATTCAATTGAATCGAATTTAATTGTCAATATTGCGTGAAGTTTATCGTTCAATTTAATGCTTAATATTTATGCTGAGCTTCAAAATGTCAAAAATCTCTAAATAAAAATTATAAAGATCAGAATTAAAATTATTTAAATCAATTTACGATGTCAAAAAGTACCTAATATTAAACAATAAAAACTATCATAGCTTATGTTATTATTACATTTGAGATTTTCGATCTTTTTTTTTAGATCCTTAGATTCCATAATATCCAATAAATATCGATTTTTCATCTTTGATTCTGATATTTGAATATTATATTATTTTAGAATATGTGCAATTATCTTCAATTAATTTATATTATTGTTTTAAAAGATATTTATTTATTATATAATACTGTATAGAATAAAGATAATAAATAGAAAAATTAAATTATTTTTATATTAAAGAATTTTTTAACATTTAAATTTAATAAGAGAATTCCTTAATTTTTTAAATAAGTTTCATTTTTCTTTAATTTTACATTAATAAAGTTTCCAAATTTCAACTTTCTTATTAAAGATTTTAATGTTTAATACTAAATATCACTAGAATTTGAATCAATCAATTTTACTTTATTTATATTACATTAATAGTATAATACTGTGTCAAGAATATGACGGTAAGAAATCAATAATTCATAGTAAATTAAATAAAACAAAAGAGACGTATAGAAACGTATAAAAAATAATAAATCAAAAAAGTAACTAAAGCAAAATAATACAAATAAAATTAAAATGTAAAGAATAATACGCTTTTTGTATCTACATATAAAAAAATCTGGTAGGATATTTTTATATTGTAGATTCTTTCACAAAAAGTCACAAAATAGATATCTCATACAGATCGCAATTTTATCATATTTGATAAAATTAAACGTCTATTATTTTTAAAAAATGTTGTATTCTTTTGGTATTGCAGAAATTTTGGTATTGATGTTTTGTCAATATCGATTATCCCCAATCTAAAAACAGTTATTAAAAGTTAAAACAATTAAGTTTTCTATTATTAGTCAGATGAAGAAATTTATTAACACGTAATATGGTAAAAAGAAATATTCAATTTAAACTTTCTATAAATTGTTTTTGCATTTCAACGATATATTTTCCAGTTATTTTGCGTATTTTTTAGGCGTATTTTTTATTATTAGGAGTAAAAGTTAAAGGGTTAACCGATAACACATATTTTGCAACAGATCACTTTCCACAATATGCTCATCAAAAACATTTATCTTCAACTTACAAATTAGCGTCGGTCTTCAGAGATCATCCGTTTATATTTGGTAATCAGTCTATTCATTAAACTATCGCTCAATGCCAATTTTACAAAAGGACTTTTTCGTTTTTGTCCTTTGAGTCAAGAACGTTTCCGATTTTTGATACAATTTTGAATTAGAAATTGAAACCGGTATAATTTCGTTAAGCTCAATCTCATAATATTTATATATGTATATAATATGTAGATTAAAATAGTATAACATTTTCCAACAATTTAGATTTCTTTATCATATCTGAAATAACATTTTTTAACATAAAAAAAAAATTATTTTCAAAGATATCTTGCCAAAACTAAGAAAATGCACAATACAATTTCACATTTCACAGAATTATTTTAGCATCAAAATGCAAACTCGGCGAAATTGTATCGGTTTCAATTCACAATCTAATTGTTCGCTTCGTAGATCATTCACGAATGATCTAGGAATAGTCCAAGATCGTGAAAAGAAAAACGCGTCACATAAAAAGATGATAATAGCCCCGAGAACACCCAATGAGGGATTTGTGGAATTTGTACTCTTCGAATGTATGTATATATTAGAGCGTCCCATGTATCTCTAATTTTTCATTTTAACTGTTCTATTGCACATTCGGCAATCTATTATTTCGTTTGTAACAAATGACTTTATAGAAAAATCTTTAGATTTTAAAATTTCTTGTTTTTGACTTTTATTGCATATTCACAAATTGCATTTATTCAATGTTTATTTTTTAGTTTATTTTATAACAAATTTTTTTTAACAAGTTTTCTAAAGAGAAATCACTTTATGTTTATTTCTTTATGTTTATTTCTCCATATATAAATAAGGGACACTCTATATATTTTGTGTGTGTGTGTGTTTTGTGTACATACATATATGTATAAGTGTGTGTGTGTGTATATATATATACATGTATATACACACACCCACACCACACATATATATGTATATATATTTGTAATGAAACGTCACTTATGCCATAATATAATTATCAGTTCACTTTTTTTGCTTTTATACTTTGTTTTTTATACTTTTTGCTTGTTCGCTTAATTAGAATAATAATTACTTAACTATATGTATACATATGCGTGTGTATATTTGTTTTTTGTGTTCTGTGTGAATTTGCGTTGTTATCTATTAATTAATCGCAATTCATTATTCATCAAGAAATTAGCCGTTTGTCTATCATGTCCGTCGTTTCATTCTCTAAACATTTTCCCTTCTTATATTTCTTTACGTTACGCGGTAATGATTTTTATGAAAATTCAATTTCTTTTGCAAATATATGACGGCGCGGGGTTTTTTTATTTATAAGTTTATTTCTTTGTTTAATGTTTGTATAATTATGTAAATAACATTCAATGAAAGTAATCCGCGATTTAATATCAGAAATGATTTTATATGTTATTGAAATAATTTATGTAATCTTTTTAAGTAATTCTAATTTTTATACACATAATTTTATACTATAAAAATAATTTCATATTTTATAATCTTAACATATTATAGTTAAATTCCAAATATTGCATATAATCTTTAAGTTTCAAATTAAATAAACAATTTTATGAATAAATTTATAAAATATTTTTATTATAATTTATTTGATATATTACAAATTACTTTAATAATTTTATCATTTTAAACTAGGCGGATTGCTCCGGATAAATACTTCCGAATTTCTTGATTGACTAATTTTATAATTTTATAATTTTTATAAGATAAATTTTTTTGTAGTTATAATTTTGATAAAACTATAAATTTCTCTTAGAAATTCGTTTCACAAAATAATTTTAAACTAATTGAATTTTTTAAATTATTTTTAAATTCTGTTTTATTCTATTTCTCTAGTCAATCTTTTCTATAAAAACTCTAAAATTTATTTTAAACGTTGCTTAATGAAAATGATTGAAAAATTTGGAATTATTTATGAATAAATTTGCGTATTATATATAAAATAATAAAACTAATTAATAAATTAAAATTTTTTAAACAAATTTCTAAGAATAATTTTATAGTTTTATCAGTTTATGTAAAGCTAAACCAAAGAGGCGCGTATTTCAATAGTCGATTCTCAAAATGGTCAATTACTTTTTCATTTTATTTATTTCAAGAGTTTAAGATTAAGCCTGCAACGGAGCGAAGAATTTTTTACCATACCTTCCATTTTTCATTTACCTTTTTTGCTTCTCTTTCTCTCACACACACACATGCGCGCGCGCGTGCGCTTTTTCTCTCTTTTTTTTTCTCTCTCTCTCTCTCTCTCTCTCTCTCTCTCTCTCTCTCTTTCTCTCCCCCCCTTTCACTCTTTCCTCTTGCACATCCACGCTGTCTTAATAAATCTGTATGTTCTTAAAAATATATACAATGCTGCTATGATTTCACGTCAATTCTCGATAATTTACAATAATCTTCTTTTTCATACTCTTCTAGTTGTTTTTGTTACCTTCTCTTTTTTCCATTTCCTTTCTGCTCGTTTTTTCTTATTTTTCATACTTCTATTCCTTTTTTCGACATCAACTTTTCAAAAAGTAGCTGATTTTTTGCTTGTCAAATTTTCCCATTTTTTTTCTCTTCTTCCCTTCTCACTTCTTCTTAACTCTTTACCTTTGTTCCAAATTATTTGCCTTCTTGTCTAGATTAATTTTTCTTCTTTTATTTCGTTTCTTTCATCTTTCTTTGTTCCAGTTGTTTTTCCTTTATTTTCTTTTGAATGCATAATATACCAGACTTTACTGCAATTTCAGAAATTGTAAAATCTTCCTATTTGCATTTACAGTTTTTTTTTAAACAACTGGTTTATTTTCTTATTAATTTCTCCGATCAATATTTCCAAATGTTGTTCTTCTTAGTTGATGATATTTATATTTTATACATCCTTTCCTTTCTACCCGTTTCCATATTGTTAGAATGGATCGTTTCTTCCATTTTCAGTTTTACATTAGTCTCTTTTTCTCCAGGTCATTTATCTCTCTCCGCAATATTCAATGAAAGTATTGAAGACTTCTTCTCCTTTTTATAATAGGTTAGAACTGAAATGATATCAAAGATAACTTCGTTTCTTCTATTTTCTTCTTCTTGCGTTACAATTGATGTTCTTTGAGCCTTGGTAATCCAAGTATCTCGTACCTCTTTCATAATTGATTTTTTTTAATTTATTCAGTTTTTTGAAGATCTTCGCCAAGTCGAATGGTATCTAAAACACTTCTTCTTCTTCTTCTTCTTCAACGTTGCTTTGCCAGTCAGGCCATTTTGGAAGGACAAAGTTGTATTGAGTACGAATTTAAATGTGCATTTTATGTGTATATATGTAATGTGTGTATGAGTCGATATTTCGCGCGCCGTCAATTTTCGTACGCCTCGATGGATCTTCTTCCTTTCGCTCTATCTCCTATCCCCTATCCTTTTCCCTTTTCCTTCTTCAATCGTTTCTTCTTTCGCCGCCATCGCATCGCACCGCCTCTTTGTCTGCAAATAGCGCAGAGGAAGCAATGTGAGAATTTATTTGCCCAACATCCACCACCCTTGTCTTCCTCCTCAACTCTTGTCATCCTATCTTCCGTTTTTTATCCCTTTGGTGATTTACGTCCGTTACACTAGTAACGGATTTCCCGCATTTAGCATATAGTGTTTTATTCATCATAGAATGCAATCAATTACAGCTAACTCTCTGCTTTTATGCAATTAAGTTTGTAAAATCTATTTTAATTTGGACAATCGATTCATTCATCTAAATTAATATGATTTCGAAAGAAAATTTCTTTATGCTTTTGTTTCAAATAGCAAATTCGATTATCTACATTATTCTGCACTGATGTGCTCTAAAGCCCAATCTACATAAGACGCAAATTAATCTGTATACATACCTAAAGATTGTCCATCATCTCGGAAAGAGTCAGTCTGGAGGTGGACATGGCGACACCACTGTCGCTACTACTCTGTACGCTACTATGATCATCGGTGTCCGATTGATTGCTCGTGTAACCAATCACATCCACTTCATCTGCAACAAAAAGAACAGATTCCGTATTGTTATAACTTGGAAGAGAGATTGATGACAAAATAATCTTTCGTTTACGCATCTAATGCAACGAACAAATAAGTCACATATACCACGAAAATCAAACATCGAGTTTAGCTCCAAGAGAGATTAACGAAAAATTAGTGAAAATTTATGCATCGGTATCTGCTACTATTACGACGCGCAGCTGGTTGCGCATCTAAAATCTTTCAAGATGGCAGCCAGTTTAACATTTATCACGAGAGATTAATTAATAGTAGCGAGAAGATCGTCTTCCTCTGAAGAAGTCCTACCCTTCCTCTGTCTTTTCAATTAAATTCTAAGCGTTTCTATAATATCATATTTGGCATCCATTCATAAATCTGTCAAAGTTGCTTCGTTTTCAAGCGATTCGTTGAATTTTTTAATTGCAAATTTACTCAAAGTGTCTAAAAAAAAAGAATCCGAAAAGATTAAAAACAAATACAATCAATTAGAAGCATAAGCCGGCCATTCTAAACTAACTTATAAAAATGGAATAAAAAAGGGTAGGTATTTAGGAGTCGATCGCGGAAATTGATACGCAAAGTAAAAGGATAATATTTAAAAAAAAAACTTATTATAATCTCGAGCTTATATATTTCGGCTCAATTTTGAGCCTTCTACAAAGTAGAACATAAAAAATCGTATTCAATACAAGTAATTAATGATCCACTTGTCACAGAGAGTTCACTCCAGATCATTCTAAGATGCTTACTCATAAACGATTGAAAAGATTCTAACCAAAGCTTAATAGCTTTAGTTTAGCTTGTAATGAATTCGGTTGGACGCATTAGTGCGCACTGGTACATATTCAAGCCGTTGTACACTGATTAATCTAAGTGCAAAAATGAAAAAAGAATGCAAATACTTCAAATTATGTAAAATAATTCAAAATAATATATTTTACTTAACCTTTAGACTACCGGGATTTGAGATATTAAACCGTCCTTTAAAAGTGGCCAAATTTTTGTCTTGTATCATGTATCAACTATATACAAAGTTCATATCATAGGCCGAGCCGATATATCGGCTTCCCGGCAGCCTTCAGGTTAATGATAGACATTAAAATGTGTGTATCGAAGATTTCACGGTTTAACTTGGTTTTATATTTATACTATTAAACACACATCTTTAATTTTTGTGCACGACGATTTTGATATGCGCCAATGCGTACTGAATACGTCCAATCGAATTTGATTGTAAACTTAGTAACACAAAAAAAATTTCTTAGTGGCATACCGAAAGTTTATACGAGTGAGTTATAAGATATATAAAGCATTTTAAATAGTAGGTCGTTTTAAATAGTACCATTCTCCCCATATCAAACGCGCTCTCGTGACGTAAGAAGACGCATCAACTGCACGCACCGTCTGGCCAATACTCGCAAGACGAGTGCCGACAAGGACGCGCCGTTATTATGACGCCATACCGTCAGACGGAGAGATGATGTGCAAAGGAAGGAGTAAAGAGAAGGAAGGGTAAACGAAGGAACATGATAGAGAGACTGCAGGGTGTACAGTAGCCATGACACCCGCTAGAAGGCACGGCTCGAAGAAGACGAGGGGGTGTCGACCACACTTGCTAGCTACCCTCCCCCCCCCCTTACTACTCGCGGCGCTCTGAGCCAGGGGTATTTTTCCATAATCAATAACATGCCTCTATTCTCGTCACACTAAGCGAACCAGATCTGCCCTCGTCACCACCCACTTCTCCCTCTTTCTCACCCCTCTACCTTTTGCGTCCTCGACATCGCTAACCTGTCCAGGTGACAGTGGCGCTCAAAACACAAGTGGAAAGTATACAATCCACAAATAGAGTGATAAACAAATAAAACCACGTCCAGAGAGATTGGAATATAAAATATCAAATAAATTTTTGTAATCTATTAAAAATACAATATACCACAAATTTTCAAATTTGACACAAGCTTTAGGATTTAAATGTGAAATAAGCTAAGGTATATGTAATATTTACTAGAAGAAATGTCTTTCTTAATTGATGATGAATATTAATTGTTGAAAGTGGGTGATGAACATAGAATGGCGAGATTTGAGAGGCACTGATTAAAGCGGCGGTTTTAAGGGTGACACGAGTGGCGAGCAAAAGAGTTCATTAAAACCAATGTCATGCGCACCCCTGGTATCACCGAATTCGTCACTTCCTCCCTCTTCCCGCCTCATTCCACGGCGTGAGACATAAAAAACACGCGAGACATTCGATGCATTCGGCCATTTCTCCCTGATACGGGGATAAATTTCAATATTTCGAGAGAATAAAAATAAGTCGCGCGTCACGTTTTCCTCCTAGTTAATCATTTCTCGTTATCACACGGTAACAACAAACAGTACGGTGCAACCCTGTTGCGTGTCCGTGCGTTTATCAGGAACAAATGGAAAAGAAGAAAGGCGGGGAGAGGGGAAGGTGGCAGTTGACGGCAGATAACAATAATATCCGTCACGACCGCGATAATTAACTCTTGGTTCGTTCGAACGAAGTTTCGCGGAATGCGAAAGAAGATGCGGACATTTCAGGTGGACCCCAATATTAGACACAATACAATTATCAATTCCAAATTAACTAAATTGTTATTTACGTCTATATAATTTTGAATCATGATTAACATCGATATAACGTCTTGCTGTAAAAGGTAGAAAGGGACAGATAAACCTCCGCAAACTGTATCTCTCTCAATTCTAAATCGCCAACTTCCGGCTTTGCTCGGCGGACGGATTATCTCAGTCTATTTATACATGTCGTCGCGGTTCCGATTAAGTCTCGAACGCGTCTCAACCTAGTTGCGATAAGTAACGTCGCGCACGTGGTATAGTCACCGGTCAGTATTTCTTTAGTCGCGTGATGTGCGTGAGAGATATACAATCGCCTGCGCGCAGCGCGAAGTTTATATGAAAACTTTTAAAGTACTTCAAATCCAAAAAAATTCCGGGGTCAATTTTTTTTGCGACGTTTGCGACTATCAGTCGTGAAATATGTATGATATTGACAACAAATTTTATAATTTTATCACTCTCTTCTCGTTCTCCTTTTATCGTTTCTCGTTTTATCACTCCTTCTCTTTCTGCAATTATAAGTTCACATACGACAGCGGATCATTCAGAAAATCATTTAGAAAATATAAATAAATGATTCAGAGAGAGATGAATTGCCTTCCTTCATTATTTTTCTATTATATTTCTCAAATTGATTAAAATAGTTTTATAATTTTATACTCGCGGCCTATCTTCTCTCTCTTCGCTATTATAAGTTTAAATATATCAAACGGGTTACATTTTCTTACAAAATTATTTAAAAAATAAATCAATAATTCATTCAGGTAGATTATTTTCTTGCATATTATTATCCTAATATACTTCCTAAATTGATTAAAATAGTTTTGTAATTTTATCACTTCCGTCCCTGCTTCGCTCTCACAAATTTGAAAATATCGAATAAAAGTGCAAACGGATGCAATTGTTCAGAACACAAATAAATTATTTATTCAGATGAATTGTATTCTTTCGTTATTTTTCTAATATCTATATTCTCCAAACTAGTAAAATTTTTTTTTAATTTCAGTTTATCTTCGTCTTTTCATAGGATTTCTACAATCCATCTTTCTCTTTTCATTTGTTCAAAATATTAAATAAAATTCTATCACCGCTGTTAAATATCAAAAAGTTCTTATTTTGAGCACAATTATTCAACGACATCATCAGTTCATTACTATTTGGATTAATAATTGTTAATTTGAAAAATAATCGTGAAAAATAAAAGTGAATTTAATATTACAAGAATGTTATAGTAATTGTTCCAAATTTATTAAGTATTTTCGGATTAAATACACAATAAGGACACGATTGATACATCATTGATTAACTTAACTGCCAACAATTAAAATATTACTATATTATTTTTAATTTGTTAAAAAGTTTGGTTTATTGGCTACATGTATGTTTGTTAATGTATAATCTATTCACAACAAACTGCAATTAAATCATACTGCATTTTATATTTGCTTTCATTTCATTCGAGAGAAATTATGGGACACAAGTACGGAAGGGTTTGTCTGAAGGATTACTTTGAACTGAAGAGAGTCTGTACATGTTAGACATGATTATTTTACGGGAACAACAGACATGTGTGCGTATTTAACTTGTCAAAGAGTCTCTCTTTCCTTTCCCACTTCTTGTTCTTTGCTTAGAAATACTCAGCCTGTTTCATGTTGAATTCCGCTGTACGTATCGTAATTCTCTCTGCTATTTATTTTCTCTCAATTCTATATCTTTCAACAGTTCTCTCGCAATGCAATCCCGCTTTAGCCGATCACTCTTTTCATATTCTTAGTGCTTCTAATCTACATTTAATGACTATAGAAAATAAATATATAATTCATCATCATAAATCCAAATTTTGGAGAAGATCAAATATTAAGTTTTCAATATATTTTGTATGACTAGTATCCAACTACAACATTTAGCTACAGCGGTATCGTGCAAACGACAAGGATCCGTTACTAATGGCAGGGACAGCAAATCTTAAAGAGGGATCTTATCACGTTTGGTAATTTAGCTAAGCGCAACAATCTCACGACATTAAGGTGCCTGAGGAAATCGTCCTGAAATAATTCCACGAGTATATGTATATGCGTGTTTATGTGTATGTTTATGTGGAAGAGAGTGCCTTATCCCCAGATTGCTACAACGCAAAACACACATTCTATTTGAGTCCATAAATGTAAAGCCGGATTCACCAGAGTGAACATATCTCGTAATGGAGACATGATTGCTCTGCAATCATAGTGGTACATGCATCTAAATGCACGATTTTATATCAAGAATATTATTAATATAAGAAAAGTACATATATAGATACATATAAATAGTATAATGATTAATTTTAAGTAAAAAAAGTTGAATTAATTTTTTAAACTTTTAATTAAAACATTAATTTTAATTAAAGGTATATACTAAAATGTACTTTTTTTTATTGGATTAATAGTTTTTTAGTGTATATTTAACGTTATAAATAATTAACAAAAAATAATTAATAATAGAAATAAAAAAGTTACGATAAATTCCACTATTCCGATGCAGAAAGCGCGGCAAATTCGAGGTGGCTTTCGAAAAATAGCCGGTGTGGCACACGTGACTTATGATAAGTGCTTCGCCGGAGATATTCCCGCGGGATCATCAATTTCAACGTCCAACCCCCGCGCGTACACCCCCGACATTTTCCGATTTCCTTCGCCTTCCGCTAGCTCGACCTCTTTTTTTTTTACTCCAGGAACTCCTTTGGAAAACTCATCCACCCCTGCAAGCTGCAATATTTCATGCGGTGGCGAATGCATTTTTGCGATGCACGTCGTCGTGGTGGTGTCCCAACGTAGACAAGATCTAAATTTTGAAAACTCTATCCAGATAAATACGATATAATCCCAAATTGTTAGATAATAAAAAATTATATTAACAATCGAGATATATTGTGTTGTCTTTCTATGTATTATTTGGTTTGTATATTGAAATAAGAGAAAATTATAAAAATTACGCTGAGAAAAGCTCGGAAATATATGAGTACAGATATATATTACAATTTATTTTTTCAAATTTTGAAAATGTAGGACCAGCTTAACAGAAGTATGATATAATTATTGTATTTTTGTGTATATTTTACATGTTTGTTATATGCATGTTGTACGCCGTGCTTAAACAATGACGCTTCGGGAAATTAAATAGATTTATTCGTTCGATTTTACGATGTAAATAGAGTAATCCGCGTGGCTTCTATCGTACTGCTTTCCATCTTAATTCCGACTCGTGACGATTAAGATTTAATCAACGGAATGAAGCTAGTTAAGAAAGAAGATGGAGTTGCTGGCGCAAATCCTCTTTGAAAATTTTGCATTAGAAACATGATAAACTATACGAAGATTTTTGTAGGGAAAGAACTGCCATAAGTTATTGCTATGTTCAATTACAATTGTAATGTTAAAAAATATAATTATTAGATTATTACATATAAAATGTCATTCTAAATTTTTCACTTCCAAAACTTTTTGTAAGAAACGTCTTCTAATAATTAAAAGTAATGAATAAAAATTGCAAATAATTTCATTATTAATAATCAACGTTATAAGGCTCTATAAGTATAAAACAAAGTATTTAATATAGAAGAAGGGCAAAGAGCATTATTTATATATTTAATTAAAATATTTTTTTTTTATTTTTACAGGAAAGTATACGTTCTGTACTTTTATATTATTATGGCATTATTATTAAGATGTGTGTGTATATATATATAGAATTCATTGTTCTGAATTCAATTAATTTGATAAAACATGAGAGCTCTTTGTTAAAAATTTAATAAAACATGAACCCAATATTTCTACATCCGGGCGATGTAAAAGAGACTACTGGAAGAGTAAGGCAGAAAGAAAGACTGTGAGGAGATGTAAAGACGTTCCGTCGGAAGAGAAAAGCACCCTCAATTTAACATATTTAATGATAATCTCATTGCAGTACTCACCAGACTCCGAGATGGATGGGCTACCTGCAGACCTGTCCGAGTTACTGGAGCTTCCGGTCGAGCTGGTGGACGCCGTGCCCAGGGAGCACTCAGAGATACTACGCCGCTTATTGGACAGCATCGCTGCGGAGGCGGCAGCGGCGACGGAGCCGGTCGGCGCGCTCGTGCTGAGCCCGTGGAGGCCATGAAGCGCATGAAGGCCATGGAGGCCGGTCTGGTTCGTCAGCTGCTCGAGCCGCCGTCTCAGGAACCTGTGCTCGCGCGACAGCTGCTCCTTGTGTATGGTGTGCTTACGCTCGCGGTCCTCCAAGTTCTATAATCAGATGATGTGACATCACACATGGTCGCGATATCATATAGTTTAAAATAATAACATTTTAATAATGTACGTGTGTACAGTCTAACATATAGTACATATAACGTGTAACATAAATATAATATAATTTATATATGATATTAATTAAGAATGTATGTAATTAAAAAATAATATTTATATATATAATATATACATATCATATTTATATATCTAACATTGTATGTATATTCATAGAGAGATCGCTCATTTGCTACAATACAATACAATTCAAAAAATAAAGTTTTCAAAAAAAGTTTGAATATTTTAAATTGTTAATAAAATATAATTTTTGTAATATTAATTTTAAAATACAATTTTGATGTATAATAATTAATTACAAAGAAATAAAAATATATTTTTCTTTATGTTCCCGTTTTAATAGCAAGTAAGCGATATATTAATACTGTATATACATAGTAATATAACATTATATATGTATACACTGTAATACATTTTCTAACAATTACGATTATATAGTAACAGTTACGGTACTAGCTAGCAAATATAAAAATATAAATAATTAATTTTTAGTTTCATAATCTTCATGATTATGATACTTCATATTTATTTATGATTTATCGCTTCGATTTAATTACGATATGTTGGAAAGTGCGATCTATTCCTTATACATAAAAAGTTTTAATTTAATTAACTTGTATATATTATTACACTGTATTAAATATCATTTCGTTTTTGTTTTGAGAGTTGCCAATAGAATCGGCCGATAATCGGTTTCCTTTGTATTGTACACAGCATGCTATTTCGTAACGCAACAGCGAACGCTTACCAAGAAGAGGCCGACCAATTCCGGTGCAAATCACCGAACAGGAAATAATCGAATGCAACTAAATGTGTATTTCACTGCGTAGTATTTGACATGCGTAGATTTGTCGGTTCTGTAAATTTTTCCATACGAACGTTTAAAATGGAAAATTTTAAGTTTTAAATTTTAAACTGATACTTTTTCGAAATTCCAATTTTCCGATTCTATTATATTTAAAAAATTTTGAATTTTGCTATTGCTAAATTTTAAATCTGATGTCTCTCAAAGCTTAAGCATTAATCTAAAATTATATATATATATATATCATTCTTAAAAAATTTTAACATGACAAAGATTAGCAATTAAGATTAATAATCTCGCAATTATTAGAGCTATGGCAAGCAGAAAAACTTAAACAATAAGACGTAAAAAATAAGAAAATCAACATGTTGGATTTGCTACTGCTTACATTATGGCCTCCTTACAATCTCCATTGTAATTGGCCAAGTCGTTTATAGTTTATGTTTTACTGCTTAATTTTTTGTGTGCTATGGCCGACATGTTCGCGTAATGAAAAAATTTGGAGCAGTAAGATAGCTGAAAATAAACGCCGCTCTAAGGATGGATGGCATTAAGGTAAGGAAGTAGCTTCGCGGCGAAATCACCTAATCACAGATTAGGGCATCACACAACAGGCGATATATTTGCGTGTGCGTGTTTATGGCGCGACTGACATCGCGCTGGTAGGAAATTTCCTGGTTTCGTGTTTTCCGTTTTATTCGATATGAATTTACAACGGAGATAAAACAAGGTTAAGAAAAGCGTCAAACGGAGTGTACCCCCCCCATAAAGCCAATCGACCGACCTCCAGAAGTGAGACTCGGTTCACTCTCTTACCATTTACAATTGTATCGGGGGTATGTTAAGTTAGCACCCCCACTATAGTACTCAGGAGTTCTGATTAGACTTCCCACTTCCTTTTGACGAGACGAAGAGTTCCCTATAGTTGATAACAAGAGTTCCAATCAATAAACATTTTTTTAAAATAGGGTGCTAACTTTTTATCGAATTTCGAGGTGGAATAGTTCTGAGCGGCTTAATAGCTTCAATTTGCGATTGTCTAGAGTTGATATGTAAAAAAAATTTTCGAATAATAAAAAAAAAATTAAAAATTTTTGAAAAATTAATTTTTAGATACAATAATTCTGATGATAATTCCTGCTTCTTTTTGACGATACGAAGAGTTCTCTATGATTTTTAATGACATATGCGCTTAATAATCATTTTTTAATAATTTTT